GGGAAGGAGAGACCATTACGTTTTGAAAGTCGAACTCTGTGCACAACAGAGAGAAATTACTCCCAGTTCAAAAGGGAGATTCTCGCTGTCCTTCACTGCCTGCGGATCTTTCGAAACTACATCTTTGGCCGGAGGTTCATATTGAGGGTGGATCCCACAACTCTAGCTTTCTCCTTAAGGAACTATGTTCCATCCGATCCAACGGTTGCCAGGTGGTTAACATACATCTGGATGTTCAACTTTTGGAGCGGATCCCAGGGAGTAAGAATAGAGCAGACGGGCTAAGTCGCATCAACTGGGATAAGCAGGAAGGAGAGGCAATAGAAAATACGCCCCCGGTTGATGGCTTTTTGGACCAGGAGGAAGACATCCGCCTCCACATTAATAAGTGGTCTCCGCGAGTGCCTAGCTGTGTTGGTCATCCTATTTGGCACGCGCCAAAAGGATATGAGAGGAAGGCCGAGCTAGTACTCAAGCCCTTTGAAGAAGAGGACCCTTGGGGCGACAAAGACGTCCAATGGATGATGAAGCTGGCACTCGCAGGCAATCACAGTCTGGTAGAAGAAATAAGAACGATAGAGGAGGCATGAGGAATTGATGGGGGGCATGTACCTCCTCGTCAATACACTTTTGCAGGAGTCCTTTGACTTGGTAGGCTCGCTAAATCCGGCTGAGGGAGGAGATGCTATATAAGAAAGCCAAGATGACGAGTTTGAAGAATGGGAGATCAAGGAGGCGTTCCGTACAGAGGAGTATGATGGAATTTACCTGGAGCTGGGACTTCTCCTATCGTGCGAGATGCGGGACAGGGATGCAAGCGATAGGGCCCAAAGGATGAGGGAACGTTACTTGGTGAGCGATGGTCATCTCTTCGTAAAAAGGCAAGTAGGAAACCAGGAGAGTCGTATGCGGCAGGAACCGCCAGATTGATGTTGTAGCTGCGCTTCGTGACGACATTGCGGGAGGACATCGAGGACTTACTGCCACATATGCCAAGATAAGTGAGCTATATTATTGGGATGTGATGATGGAGATGGTTGGTAAGTTATGCCGGTCCTGCGTACCTTGTCAAGAGCAATCTCGTCTGAGGCCGGGAGAGCCGCTGCATCCAAGGTTGGAAAGGGAAGTACGGGCCGTAGTACATCTCGACCTGCTATTTATGCCCCTCGAAGATCATGGCTACAATTACATCTTCGATGCGCGTGATAACTTGTCTGGCTTTGTGGATGGGCGGGCTATTCGTACGAAGACTGGGCCAGTCTTGGCTAGCTGCATCGAGGAGTACCACCTGCGTCACCCTTTTGTCAAAGAGTTCGTAATGGATAAAGGATCGGAGTTCACCTGCCAGGAGGTGCAAGAGTTGTTGTCAAGGTACGGTGTAGTAGCTAATTACACCACGGCGGCGCATCCTCAGGCAAATGCTCCAGTGGAAAGAGGACACAACACCATTACGAACCTGTTGGCCAAATGGAGTGAAGGTAGGCCCAATCAATGGCCAAGGTATCTGAGGGCAGGATTCTTTGTCGAGAATATTACGGTAAAAAGGACCACTAAATACGCACCGGTCACACTATGGTACGGGAGACACGCTACCTTCCCAATCGAGAGCTTCCTAAAGACTTGGAGGCGTCAGGATTTAGAGGTCAACCTGTGTTTCGAAGAATTGCTCGACATTCGAGCACAGCAAGTGGGTGTGATTGAGGAAAGGATTCAGGAAGCGTCCAACACAAGTAGAAAGGAGTCGTATGGATGATAAGGCTCGCTGGGACCAGTCGGCTCGAGTAAGGAAAGTACCCTCACAGTTGGGGACGTCGTACTCCTATATGATTCATCCTTGGAAAAGCGGTGGTCCAGAAAGCTTGACAAGAGGTGGTTGGGTCCTTATCAGATTGTGCGATGCAGAGATTTCGGCGCGTATCAGATTGAGGAATTGAATGGGACAGAATGGAAGGACTGGGTGTCAGGAACAAGGCTGAAGAAGTTTGTGGCGAGAGAAGGGGTGAGATAAACAATCTAATTTCCCTTAGAGTAGGATAGAGGGGTATGCAGGTTAGAAAGATTGCATGATGTATGTGCTTGGCCTGACCTAAGCTTGCTCATTTACCGACTATTTGCTTACCCCAATGTGTGCCTGTTGTCTCCTTCGCCTGTTGTGCAGGTCTGACTTTGCGAAGACTGCCATGCCAAGAGGAGGGAGGGGGGCACGACCGCCACAAAGGCCGTAGGGAGCATCAGGAGGATACGAGCGGCATGGGTCTCACCACCGAGAGAGTACACCGGTGTATGACGATGGGGATATTGAGTTATTCCTGGATGAGTTCTTGGGGTATGCAGATCATATGGGTTGGACCATGACCCAGGCAATCGGGAGGTTAAGAGGAGTTGGCAGGTTCGCAGAGCCCATGTGGGACCTGACGGCAGACCGATTCGCCTGGAAATTGGGAATGCAGAGGAGTTCATCCCCGCGTTCGAGCAGTTCATGCATAATCAGGGCATATTGAGGGATGAGTGGGCGAGAACGTTACCCCTATGGACCAGGAAAGCAGAGAGGCCATTGGCGAGGCAGATTAGGGATATGGCCAGAGATTGGGAGGGTTGCCGGACGCACTTGAGAGAGGCGTTCCGACGGCCGGAGCCGCCCTAGCCCAGAGTAGAGAAGCGCCTGAGGAGCAGGAGGCAGAGGGACCCTGAGCCCACTGAGGCCAGGCCATCGCGAAAGGGACGGAAGGCCCTCGCCAGGCGAGAATAGTTCTTGATTAAGTTCCTATAGTAGCCGCACATTCCTAAGAATGATCTGACCTCGGTGACTGTCTGAGGTCGTGGCCAGTCTCGAATAGTAGCCACCTTCGCATCTTCCGGCCTAATCCCCTCCGTGGATACTTCATGACCCAAGTATAGTATCTTAGTACGGCCAAACTCGCACTTCTCTAAGTTCACCTTATACTTGTGTTGTCGCAGGAGTGAGAGAACTGTCTCAACATGCTGTGCGTGCTCCTCGGCACACTTACTAAAGATCAGAATGTCGTCTAAGTAGACCACGACAAACTTATCTAAATGGTCATGGAAGATCCGATTCATAGCGTGCTGAAATGTACCCGGCGCATTACAAAGACCGAAAGGCATCACTACAAACTCATACAGACCATATCTAGTCTAAAAAGTTATCTTGTGTTGGTCCTCAGGTCTTATTGCGATCTGGTGATATCCGGATTTCAAGTCTATCTTTGTTTAGTACTTGCATCCCTGCACTCTATCCAATAGGTCGTCTATGCGAGGTAGAGGCTCTGCGTTTTTCACTGTGATGGCATTGAGGCCTCTATAATCAATGCACATCCTCAAAGTACCCCCCTTCTTCGGTACGAATAGCACGGGTGATCCGTAAGGGGAAGTACTAGGCCGAATCCATCCCTTCTCTGTCAGCTCCTTGAGTTGCTTCCGAAGTTCATCTAACTCGGCAGGAGCCATCTTATAGATCCTTCCCTTTGGGGTCTTACTCCCTGGAATGAGTTCTATAGCGTGGACGACTTCCCTATCAACAACTCCTATGGGCTCCTCGAACAGATCAGGGAACTTGGCAACGACGCGTTCTATCTCTGGGGGTATTTTAACGGCCTCCCCCTTCTAAGAGACAAAAACAAGGTATATACCCTCCTCTTTGTTTTGCTTGTAATAGTTGTAAAACGCTGATGCACACAAGCAACCATAGGTATCTACAATACGGCTGGCCTTGAACTTAGTCAATCTGACAGTTCGGCCATCGGGCAACTTWTGCTTGAGCACCTTCTTATCCCAGTCGAACTGGGGCTTAGCAACTTYGAGGTAGTRCATGCCTAACAACATTTCGAATGGCAAGTCGTCGCTAACCAAGAACGAGATCTTATGGTTAAGCTCTCCTCCTCCATAGGAGAAGGTACAGACTACGTCCTTGATGTAGTCTGTGATAATCATGCGCTCTTTGTTGGCCAAAGTAGATGCTACTGGTCTACTAAGGTGCCGTACCCGGTCCTGTAGGTGCAGCCTTTCCAAACAATCGCGACTTATGTAATTTTGCGTGGATCCGTTGTCTATGAAGGCTCCACATTTGCGGCCTCCTACATCCACTTCCACCACGAAATGTTCCCCTCTAGGACCCTTCTTTAGCGCCACCCAAGACTCACGAGGATCCTTGTTTGACCACTCACCTTCTAAGTCTTCTAAGGCCTCAGACACATCTAACGTACATGGCATAGTTTGGTCTAGTTGTGTCTGTGGGGTGACTAAGGAGTCATTAGCTTCGGCTTTGTCATGAAGTGAGGAGGGTATCAATCCCACTTCATCTTGAGTAGAAGCCGCTACTACTTCCACTGGCCCTACGCGTTTCCCGAGCTAGAAGCCTGGGAATAGGTTGTCCCTACTTTTGGAGCAACMTTTTGCGTAACCTTAGCGTTCTGACACTTCCACTGCGTGTGTCCGTATTCTCCGCAGTTGATGCAAGCGCCACGCATTCGGCGGTCACGCCACACGTCTTGATCAAGACCTGCCTTTACCCGCTCAGACTGTTTGGTCTGATTGGAGGAGGCCTTCCCTTGACTCCTAGGTTGGCCCTTCCCTCGGCCCACCTGCCTTAGTTTTTACTACCGCGGCAAGGGTGCTACCCTCAACTACCTCCTCGCCGTCATACTCTGAGTAGTCCATCAGGTCAAAGAGCTCATCAATCTCAATTTGAGTCCCATCAGACTCAACCATCATCAACTTCGCCCCCTTCTTCTTCCACTCCTGAGGACTCTTCTTCTTCTTTGCGTCATTCCCTGAGGTGGGTTGAGCATTGCCTAGCGTGGTCTAAGGCTTTCCTAGACAATGTCTCAAATGAGTGGTACTCAGTGCGTGCCTCACTGGTTAGTAAGTTCCTCATGTTCTCAGGTAGACACCTAACAAACATGGTAAAGAGGAACTGGTCACTGTAGTTGATGCCTGGGATGAGGATCAGTCTCTCGACGGTAGTCGTAAGCTCCCTAACTGACCTGAACTTGCGTTGGTCAAGTTTGTTAATGGCATCAATGGCCCTTTGAGCCTCCTGGGGGTTATGCCATCGAGCTTCTACCATCTCCATGAATTGGTCTAAAGTCAATGACTTAGCCCAATCCGCCATGCGTCGCCCATACCCGGCCTTCACAACTACACCATCTAACCATTTGGCTGCCTTACCCTCTAGGTAAGACGCCGCAGTTACCACTTCATCCTCAAGCAAGGTCCTTTTGGACTTCACCCAAACTGGGACTGTCCTCAACCATGTGTTGAGCTCTTCGTCCTTTCTCTCGCCTTAGAAGGCAAGAGGCGGTTTCATTGGGGTCTTTGGATACCATTGACCTTGCGGCTGTCCTTGTTGTGGACTAGTCTGTTGCGGTGGTGTAGCAACCACCGCTGGACCCGAAGAAGAAGATGCAACAGTCTGTGCGGCTGTTGCAGACGTACCACTTGGTTGTGTGCCAATTTGTACGGCAAAGGGACCTGACATCGCCGTTAACGGCAACGGCGATTGTGCTGGTGGCCGGAATCCTGGCTTTGTCAATGCATCCAGGATCTGGTCCAAAGTGCTTTGCATGAAGTCCATCCTGCTGTCTACATGCGCATGCAGTGACAACATGTTGTCCCTCAACACTTTCAAGGGGTCAGACAAACTTGATTCGTCCGATCCCTCTAACGCAGCCTTATCAGCCTCTAACGTATCAAGTCTGGCTGCTCTACTTTTTATCTCTTTTTCTCTATCGGTTGCTTTCTTCAGATCCTCCTCTAACTGCTGGCGAAGCCTCTCGACCTCTTGGATCTCTCTGAGCTCCCTCTCACGCGCGGTCAACGGGCTGAACTGCAAGCCCGCCATTTGACTAGAAGACTGTCTAGACCCTGTTGAACCGGAAGTGCCCGAGGAACTTGTAGAACTCGTTGACATTCCCAACTGAGTCCCACTATTCCCTGACGAGGACACAGACGATGACGTAGCAGAGCTGGTACCGTTAGCCATTGTTGTTGCTCTGGCTGCTGTTGCCCGCTCTCTTGCTACTCTGTTTGCTTCCTGTAGTCCTGCTGCTAGAGCACGGGCTCTACGTTCGGCACGAAGCCGTCTTTCTTCTCCCTCGTCCAAGGTCCTGAACACGTGCGGAACCCTTAGTGCATCTGCACGTGTAAGTCTTCTATTGTCTGCTCTATCATCAACAGGATCTGATCCACTCATTAGTTGGGCAGATAGTTTCTGCACTAGAATCCCCTAGTGGAATCCTACCACAACATGTATCTGACCGGCACCTAATTTTCTAACAATAGTTGTGTCCGACGAGCATCCTACTATACCGAATCAAGTGGCATGTCTACAACATTCACACATATTGTCTACATAGTCTAGATGCACCCTGATTGGTTCACTTACAGCAGCATTAGTTAGAACTGGCTATGGTAGCATACAACAGTCCTACACTAATCTGTCTGTGAGGTTAGCAGTCCGTCAACCAACTAATCAAAGGTACAAAAGACAATGTAGCAAATGTATGATTGATGGGTATGGTTGTGTAAACAGTTGGATCAGGAGGGATTTATAGAGCGCCCCCATCTCTTCAGGAATTATATAACGTCGCAATCAAGACGACGATCACAACCAGATTCACAATGAACTCCCAACCAGAAATATTTATAGACGGTCTGGTGAGCGTCTGTCATGGGCTGGCACACCCGGAGCAACTTCTATCAGCGCAGCAAGTGCCAAACAGGACAACAGCCATCACATGCGTGTACTACTCCCTGTGGGTTGGCATGGTGACCGTGACCCAAGTGCTTCGACCATGGCCCTTCAGAGGCACCACCCTTTCTCCTTCCAGTATGCTTCCCGAAAGATTGTCGTCTCTCAAGGTAGCCCGCTCATGACACCTCACCAAAAGAGAGGACTCTCAAGTTGGACTCACTTCCTCACGGTAAGAAGAGATTGAGAGAGTAGATAAGGTAAGGGAACAACGTACCTGGAGATAGCTGCCCCCAACCACAAATTTCTCACCAATTGAGCTGATGTTGCATTTGATGACCGGTCAGGACCTCGGTACCACCCACAACGCAATGCAGTGCCACCTTCCAATGCCACATCAGCATGCTCTCATCACCAATCAAACATTCCGCTGTATCCCACGACTAATAATGTCGTCAATAGCCTTCCGGTGCACCCCTCTCTACCCAGGGCGTGCACCTAGTGTAGCCTGGCGTCACAAGTACCCACTGCGAAGAAGCATCATCAACGCACCAAGTCTGTACAACGCCAGCGTGCCAAAGGTAAGTGGCGATCAAACCAGCTCTGATACCAAATTGCAAGGAACATGAGTATGGACGAAGCACAGAAATCCAGAATGCAAAATCACACTGAAGTCCAAGTATTCAGAGCCAAAGCAGATGGCACATGGAACCGAGTAACCATCCCATTGAGAATGATACAGAAGAATCGTGAGTCAATGTCCATGCCCATCAGGGCAACACCAACAACATAACCCAAATGTAGATCTCTCTTGTGAATGGCGCCAGGCGCCCTATCTACTCTACATCCTATCCAACAACTACAGCAATGAACAGCAACCAGACAACTTGACTACCAGCGAGTGATGATGTCAACACCAATGCAGACCTCCACCATCACCAGGTACGTGTCCTCTTCCCCACACTCTCCCTTGTTACCCACACAGCGCCCTTCACCTCCGAAGTACCACCTTCGCCCTCACCTCCCCTGCACCCTCATGCGGCCCGGCTATGGCCGCCAGTGCCCTGCACGCAGGTAGCGCCCTACCGCCTAGCGCTGGCCTGCTCTGTCTTAGCGCAGCGCTGCTCTGCATAGCGCTGCACACTTGCATCCGCGCAGCGTGCCCGCATATGCCAGCATTGGCCAAGATGCCCGCTGCCTCGCCCTGCTTGCCTATATGTCAGTGCAGCGTGTGGGCGGCCTCCCTTCAGCCTGTGACCGGGGCCCAGAGGCTGAAGCCAACTCGGTACACTTGGGCCCCGGGGCAACGCAGTTGCGCCTCCTTCATCAAGGCCTGCGGCCAGATTCAGACAGTGGGCTGATTTCCCTTTGGCATTTTCGGCCTCTCTACCCAGCATGCATTGTCGGCCTCACATTCGAGTGCTCAGGGCCTAACTAACTCGTAGGCCTTGGGCAGTTCAGCGTTTGCTGAAATCCGAGACTCGGTGCACTCCAACCAACTAGCGTGCTGCAACTGTATAGACCCCACTTCGTGAAATGTTGGCACAGAGGGCTCTTGTTGATTTGCTGGCCCGCCTACACTTAGGGCGGGCACTAGGCTTGCTGGGGCCTTAGCCCAGAACATGTACATCATGGCAAGGCCCCTACTTGAGGGCTCAATCCTCACAAATTTTTTGAAAAAGAATTAATTAAATTTGTTTTCGAAGTCCGAAGAAGAAATGCCGAGAAAGAATGATTAATCCTACGTATTTTTGAAATTTTCGAAAAAGAAAATATTTTTGAAAAAGAAATGTCGAGAAAGATGGTTAAACCACCAATACCTCGTCCAGTGTTGGGAAATTACGATGTCTTGGCCAGTACGCGAACTTTTCGGGGGTTGGACACAAGATCGGCAATGTCCCATAAATCTGAATTTTATACTGCCGCGAGTGAACGAAAAAAGGGGAAAAAAAATTGCTTTCTCTACTGCAATGATGTCGGGCTCGGTAGTCCAGGAGGCCGTGCTCACAATCTTCCTCCACATAATGCACCTTATAGGTAAGGCGGTCACATTTTGAATGTTATTGTTTTCTTTTTTTTCTTGGTTGTGTGTTTCTTATGAGTCCCCTGTCCATGAATTTCTCAAGCTGTCCGTGATTTGCTCAAGTTGTGTTTTTTCAGAGGATTATAAGGCTCATCACACTGGCACTTAGGGGAATGTATCCAGCCATTTTCACGGCCGGATCCATGTGCCCGTTTTTTTCCCCTTTTATTCTCTTTTTGGAATATGACAACCTGGACACGGGGCTGAGATGCCCTCATTGAGGGCACACTCACACTACCACTTCCAAGAATGTATACGACTGCAATCACGGCCAAAGCTTTGTTTCCTTTCTTTTTTTTTCTTCTTTTCTGAGGTTCACGGCCGCAACTTTTCTTCTTGTTTTTTGTTTTCTTTTGTTCTTTCCGTGAGAGTACCAGAAAGAAAACGGAGTGGTACCCAGACTCGACAAAACTTGGAGCGCGGTGAAATTCAGGGTCGGCAAAAACAGGCTCAGAGGTACTTAAGTATTTCGAATTTACATGAATTTCAAATGAGTTCTAAAAACAAAAACAAATAATAATAATAATAAATAAAGGAATAAATTAGTTTTTATGTAAATTGAGGGCGGAGCGATCCTATCTATGATTGATTGGGTGGTAGCGTGGTAGGTAGGGTTAAAAAAAGGGGGTTGCACGGGTAGATTGACGATGATGATGATGTCGATGATGATGATGATAGTGATGGTGATGAGGGGGGAACGTGGGGGGGAAAGTCGCGTAGGGGGGGGAAGTTGTGTAGCTCGTTGCGGGGGATCGTGCGGAACTCGCGCGGGGTGCGCGTGGCAAGGAGAAAGTTCGGGGAAGAATCGGGCGAAAGTCGGAGGGGGCGGAAGGTCGGGGTGGGGGTGCGCAGTTGGGGATCCGGGGGGAATCGGGGGAGTCGGGGTCGGAGGAGGGAGTTGGGTAGGCGGGCAGGAAGAAGGTGGGGGAAGAGGGAGCCGGGTCGGGATCGGGAAGTTCGCAGCCCGTCAGGGATGCGCTTTTCCCCCCTGAGACATTTCAACGTTCAACATCAAATTTCAACGGTGGTCGTCGGGAGCGTGGGCATTTGAGGTTTTGGGGCCTTGCAAGGGCCAGGAACGCGTAGGACAGGTAGAGGAGGCCACCGTCCCTAAGCCTTTTTCGAAATTGAAAAGGCGCGGGTCCACTTTCATCGAATAGCATAGCACCTCGAATAGACAACGTACACTTTGCATTAGAACACAACATGTACCGTTTCTATTCGGATTCCGAAACGAAAAAAGTCTTGTATTCCAATAAAATTACTTTTCTTTTTTTTTTTTTTGGAGGTCAGCGCCCGCCCCTTTTTT